TAAGGAACACCTTATCTTGATCAGAAACTTTCAACTCTGATATCCCATGCAACCTGACCACCTCTCTGATGAATGTTGTTGCCACTGTAACTCTCGTGTAAGGATGTCGTAAGGGAATGAAGTGAGCATACTTTCTCAATTTGTCAATCACCACTAAAATCATTATAAACCCCTCAGATTGGGGTAGCCCATCTATGAAACCCATTGATGACCTCCTCCCACACTCTGTCTGGAAGAGCCAGGGATTGAAATAACCCCCCTAGAGCCATAGCCATGTACTTGTTCCTCTAGCATAACTCACACCTACCCACTATCTTCTCCACATCCTTGTGCATCCCCTTTCAATACAACTCTACTGCTAATCTCCTATTTGTCTTCTACACACTAGAATGGAATCCAACGATGCTCCCATTGAATTCCTACAACAGGTGGGGAATATGAACCAAGGTCTGTGGCAGCATAAACTTCCCTTGGTACAATAGTCTCTCCCTCTAGGAAATAGCTTGGGTAGCTATTCTCATCCCTAAGTAGATCCATCCTAGTCTTTCTTAACTCTTCATCCTGCACATTTTCCTCTTCGATAGCCCCTCAATCTATCATCATTAGTACCAAAATGGACATCTCCTAGAGCTCCCCCATACATCTGAATAAGGCATCAGCTGCAATGTTCTCTAATCCAGGCCTGTTTTGGATCTCAAAGTCATAGCCCAACAGCAGCCAACTCTGATGCTCGTCAGTCACCATCTTCTGCTCTAACAAGTATTTCAAGCTCCTCCGATTTGTCTCGATGATGGAATATCATCCCAATAAGTATGCCACTTCTAAATTACTAAAAAGATGGCCATCAACTCCATCTCATAGACTGACTTTAGCCTAGCTCTGACCGTCAATGCTTGACTGAAGTAGGCTATGGGTTTGTGATTTTGCATAAGCACTACCCCCAATCTGTACCCTGAGGTATCAGTCTCTACTACAAAAACCTAACTGAAATCTAGTATGGCCAACATCAGTACTGCGAATCATGGCTTGCTTCAATCTCTCAAAAGCTCGAGTACCTGCCTCCCCTTACAAAAAATTGTCCTTCTTCAACTACTCCGTCAGTGGTCATGCTATAGTACTGTATGCTCTCACAAATCTTCTGTAATATCCCATTAATCTTATGAAAGCGCTCAGCTCTCTCAGGTTCCTAGTTAGAGGTCATTTCAGCATTGCCTCAATCTTGGCCTGATCAGCGACTACTCCCTCCTGATATATTACATGCCCCAAGTACTCCATACTAGTCTGTGCAAAACAACACTTCTTCATGTTGACCCTCAGCTGTTGCTCCTATAACACCCATAAGACCACCCTCAAGTGCTCCAAATGCTCTTCAGACCTGTTGTACACTATGATGACATCAAAGAAAATTAATACAAACTTTTGGAGGTATGGTCGGAATAACTTATTCATAAGGGACTGGAAAATAGCAAGGGCATTTGTGAGACCGAACGACATCACTAAGAAGTGTCCCTCGTGTGTCCTGAATGCAGCCTTCTGAACATTCTCATCTCTCATCTTGATTTGATGGTATCCTGACTTCAGATCCATCTTGGTGAACACCATTACTCTACACAACTCATCCAGTAGCTCATAGATCACCGGAATGAAGAACTTGTCTAGCACAATCTCCTTATTCAAGGTCCGGTAGTCCACACAGAACCTTCAGCTCCCATACTTTTTCTTGACCAATAAGACTAAGCTAGAAAAAGGGCTCACACTTGGCTAAACGATCCCTACCTCTAACATCTCTCAGATCAGCTTCTCAATCTCATCATTCTGAATCCAAAGGTAGCGAGAAGACCAGACACTGATCGGTGACACTCTCTCCCACAAGGTGATGACGCGCTCCTGCTTCCTCGGTGGTGGTAAGCCTTGAGGTGGCTGAAAGACCTCACAGAACTACTGTACGAGTAGTTGTACTAAAAGAGGATTGTCCTCCCTAGCTCCAATGAGAGGAAATCCTCCCTCATTTGAACCCCATATATAGTTAGTATCATTGTCCTACACACTCCTCTACCCGTCTCCACCTTCTCAATGCTCATCATCACCCCATAACACCTTGTGTCCACCAATTTCACCCCCAATTGGTCTAATGACCTAATTGTAGATGAAATTGTGAGTATCCCCACTGTCTATCAGTACCACCTCTCTGTTTGTTATTTCCCCCTTCACTTTTATGGTGTGATTCACTATCCCCTTCTACCAAAGCCTCACTCCCACCTCTCTCAACTTCCACATTATCGTAGACGGTGAGAACCTGAAGAGTTTGGTCATTGCACTTGTGCTCCGGTGTATACTTCTCATCACATCTAAAGCACAACCCCTTAGCCCTCTTCTCTTGCAGCTCCTTCTTAGTGAACTTCTTGAAATTTCCTCTGATTACCCCTCATACAAGCTTCTCCTTTATTGCCTCTCGGAGACCACTAGGTGTCGGCCCCTTTGGTGCTAAAAATGTGGTGGTCTTCGCCCCTATAGCCATCCTCTCCAAGTGCTTCAAATCCTCCACTAACTGAGCTAAGCTCCATAGCCTCTCCTAAGTCATGAGGCCTCATCACTCTAACTGCCGCCCGGATCTTTGGTTTGAGACTTTTGATGTAGTTTCCCTCTAACATCATCTCAAGAAGCCGATTCAAACGGCTAGCAAGGCCCTCGAACCTCTCCTGGTACTTTACCACTGATCCCTCCTGTGTTAGGGCGAAAAACTGCTAATAAAGTCTCCTCCTTTACTGGTTTGGAAACGTTCCAACAAGCAATCCTTGAACTCCCTCCAGTTTTGTATGGGTCATCTCAAGTTCCTCCACTTGTACCAAGTCAAAGCCTTCCCTTCCAAACATAGGCCAACAACTATCAGCCTCTCCTCCTCTGTCAATCTATTTATGTTGAAATATTTATTCACCTTGCAGATCCACCCATGTGCATCCTCTCCCTCAAAGATAGGCATCTTCAGCTTCCTCGCCCTCAGATCTCCTCCATTTCCCTAAATCCTCCATAACCTCCCATTCCACGAATAGGTGGTCCTCCCTAAGTATCCCGATCCTCCCTTCTGCGCTCATACCCAAACCCATCTTCAAAATCACCTCTCCTTCAGTCCCAATCCTCACCCCTATGCTCAAAATCAACCCCTCTTCTTGCAAAATCAGCACACATCCTTTCACCTAATACTCATCTCTAGGGGAGGCTACTGCCCCGGTCCGCCTTGCATAAACAAGGGGCCGACTAGACCGGTCCTTCTTGGACTGGCCTAATATACCCCTCAAACTTAAGGGAAATTTCTATAAGATGGCGGTGAGACCTACAATGCTTTTATGGTGCAAAATATTGGCCATTAAAAGAGAAACATAAAATTACATTAAGTGTTGTAGAGATGAGGATGCTTAGATGGATGAGTGGCGTTACTCTTAGAGACAAAATGTAAAATCACTATATATATGAAAAGGTTGGACCGTTGGAGTAGCTCCCGTGACAGATAATATCATAGAAAGTTGTCTTAGATGGTTTGGCACATAAAATGTCGGCCTTCCAATCATCCGAATAAGAAAGTCGATGTATTAGATTTAACCTACGTTAAGAAAGGTAGAGAGCTAAAAAGACTTGATTAGAAAGTATTAGAACTGAATAAATGAGAATTTAACACTTAACAGGACAAAGGAGTAAAAGAATTCACAAAGCCAACCCACAGTGGGATTAAGGTTGATGTTGTTGTTGTTATAGTATTTATTATGGAATAATATTTTCAACGCCTTGACAAAATAAAGAAAATATTCAAAACATGAAATAATCTTAGGAAAAACAGGGCCGTAAAAAAAAGTACTTACGGAGGGTAATTAATCAAAAGGTAAAATATGGCTGCAAAAGAAACTATTACTGAAATAAGATAGTTCTCCTAATGGCTTTGAAAACCTTATACAACTTCAGAGCTATTAAAGGAAAAAAAAACTAGGATTAAAAGCCAAATTATTAAGCACATGTCAGGCAAACCAACCAAATTAAAAAAAAAAAGACCCATGATGGAAAATTAACGAAATCAAAATTCAATTAAATGATCTAGAAAATAATAAAATACTTCTATTAATCACTAATAAGAAACTAAAACCTTAATACCAAAAGGTAATACATACGAAGGTGTTAGTAAATTATATTAGGATGAAGTCTTAGTCCCAAATCCCAAAAGTATAGAACGCTATACTTCCGAAACAATTGAAAAGGAGTTTATAAAAAGAAAATAATATATTGGAAGGTACTTCAATAGCGTTGTTATCCTGAAGTGATTGCTGATAATTTGTTTCTAGTTTACACTAGTAGATCACCACTCAATCTGATTCAACCATTGCAACAAATCATCACTCAGCTCAAGAAGTTCATTGATTATCTTTTTCCTGGGAAAAGCATCAATGTTGTAAAACTTGCATATGCTGTCATCAAGTGCATAAACTGCGTTGTATTTAATAAAATTGAACCAGCTAACTTAGTCTTGATTATTCCAAAGTTGATACTACAATTTAATAATTTAATCAGGCTGTAACTTAGGCAAGCCAATAATATCCAAGCAATCCAACCCTTATTTTCTGCAGCCTCCTAATACGCTTGTGCTGAGGGACCAAGCAACGCAAGCTATACCAAAGTAAGTGAAAGATGCTAAGATATTACGATTAATATAATACCAACGCCGTACTGACCTTGTTTTATTTACATAGTTTCTACTCAAAGATGCCATAAATACAATTTTAAATTAAATGATCAACAATTTTGACATAAGTTCAGCTTACAGGGACAAAGATTTTAATGAACTGGAGAACGGAATGTGCATAACGAATAAAAACTTTCAAAGTGTTAGAACATAGTACAGCAGAAGTATGGGACAACAAAAGTAGGGTTATTGTAGGAAAAGGGGAAAAAAAAAACCAAGTTATACAAATTAGATTCCAAACGTAGAAAATAGAAAGGAATGCTGATAACATTACCTGAAGCTTTGCCTTATCTTTGCTTAAACCTACTCCCCTGCCGAGAACTTTTCCTGCTAACTGGACCTATAGCATAGGTTAGAAAGTGAATGCATAAACAAAAAAAATCATACAGATGTAAATTAAAATATTTAATACGAAGATGAACCAAAGGTAAGATACCTGAAAACAGTATTCTTCACAACTTGTGGAAGCTAGGGGCACTTCTTGGAAGACCAGGTTTTTCCTCTCTAAACACTAAAATTTAGTCAGTATACCTAATAAACTTAACCATCAACGTAAAATAACAACAGAACATGAGTTCTTGTCTCTTACAAGATCTTTTATACCAGATAGGATGGACGACAATCTTTCTGAGTTATCTGGTTGCTCCAACTGCCCAACCAAACTAGAACTAGGTAAAAGTTCATTTTTGGATGACTTGTCCAGAATATTGTCAATGTAGTCCTCTAAAAAACCATTTTCATTTTCAAGAGAAATATTATCGGTTTTGACAACCTCCACATTCGGAGCAATAAATGAAAGGTACCCGCCTAATCAGATAAATGCAAAGGGATGAAACAATAAGGAACTTGCTTTATCGCAAGTATTTTAACTGAAATTTTGACGATACCATGAAATTGCCGCATACTAAAAGGCTGACCAGGTAAAACTGGTAAGTGAGGCTAAATACAATGCAGTAGTGACTGTGTGCTCAATTTTGTAGACTTACTAGCCAAATTGCGCAAAGCATTCTCAGCAGCTTGCAGCTGAGCTTCTTTTCTTGTTCTTCCCATTCCAATTCCAATCTTTTCAGTGCTGAATAAGACCTATAAAAACACTGCTGAGTAACCACACTATATAGCAAATTCCGTGTGGAAGAAACAATCAGCATTAAAAGATATTACCCTTGAGAGTAATCTTTACTGGAAAACATTTCTAAAAGTACACATCAAAATTTCATACACCCATTCATGTTTTGAAAAATTACCTTTGCAATCAAATAAAATCAATATTTCAAAGGAAAATAAACAAATATCGAAGCACACTGATGTTTTATATAGAAATCAAAGTAGCATAGAAAAATTAAAACAGTAACTTTAGCAGTCCTGTAATACAAACCTCAATAGTAAAGTGCAAATCCTTGCTGCTTTCAGAAACAGACCTAAATTCAACCTGCAATGGATGACAATTCCAAACAAAAAAGAGGAGTTAGTTTATTATTCAGAAACAGGAGCATCTGAAACAGTACATGGCTCAAACTTAAAATACCTTAGAATCACACCTCCGCCCAATTTCCTGCAATACTTCTATGAGCAAAAAAGATGGAAGTAGTGGAAGAGACTCAGCCCTATTGGCTGATGCTCGATTCACTGATCCATCATCATCTTCATAAAAAAATCATCAAATTAGAACAGCTAAAGGCACACAAAAAAAAAATTCTATTTACCTCGGCCTTCCAATGACCGGTTAGGAGAGTAGAGGTATTAGATTTGACTTATGTTAAGAAAGGTAGTGGCAGATCTAAAAAGACTTGGTTAGAATATATTAGGAACGACCTTTCTTTATTAGATTTAAACGAGAATTTGACCTTTAATAGGACACAATGGAGAAAAAGGATTCATGTAGCCGACCCCACGTAGTGGGATAAAGACTTGATGTTGTTGTTGTTGGACCAGATCTTTATCCTCAAAACAAGTTACAGTACTAAGTAATCCTAAATATTTACAGAAGAATTGTGCTACTTAAATGTTGACATCATACAAACAACCCATAAATGACAGTAATAATCTTGATCACTCATCCTCATTAATGACCCAACAAAATTTTATGAACAATGGAACAAATAAGTTAATTTTAATCCCTCTATGTAAAAAAAAAGAAGAAGAAGAAAATTATTTCATACTTATAAAACAAAGATAAATAAATAATAATAATGTAAAATGTGTTGCATCCACGCAAGGGCATGTCCAGAACTGAATAAAAGCACAAATCATAACAGGCGATGTATCATATCTTCAAACGATTTCAAGCAAATTTAAAACATGGCATGCGCATGCATCAGAATGCAGCATGAGTTCATGTCACTTATCTATGGCATTTAACCTTTTAATCCGTAAATTCATTCATGAAATGATATAGAAGCTTCATGAAAAAGATCGATTAATAAATTATATGCTGAATTTTTAACATCAACTTCATATCTATTCTTTCAAAGGTGCCATTGTTGTGACGATACAAATGAATAAAATTAGCCGAAACATCATAAAAACAAAAAACCCTTGTGCAAGTATGTTAAGAAGAAAACCTGATGGTATGCATTGGGTTGCCTGTGCTTGACGTTGAATTGGTTCTGCAACAAGATACGCCTACAGACATCAAATCACTACATTGATTAACTTCTGATAGATATTTTCTATTTAAAGTTGAGATGATTTTTGCTTGATCCAATTTTATCCATGGGTGACATCAAGATCTTACTAACATGGGTGAGATCAAGATCTTACTAACAGGTACGGTTCAAGCTTTGAAGAGACAAAAAGAGAGATTTAGAGAGAAAAACTACAGAATCTTCTTAGATTTAAGTGTAAAAAAAGTACAAGAATGGTGTGATATGATTGAATGCTTTGACCCCCTATTTATAGTTCAGGTCAGGTTTAATGTGACAAAAATAGCTACAAAAAGGGAATACAAGAAATTTACAAGTAAAAACTTAATTAAGTAGGTTGTGAAACAGACAAATGTGGTTGACTAACAGTTATCTTTGAGTTGGGGAACTTCTAATGAGAAACTTTGGGATCTACTTAGATTTAAGCATCAAAATAAATAAATAAATAAAATACAACACTAATGTGATATGAATGAATGTTGAGGTCATTCGTTGAGCCCTTTATTTATAGCTCAGGTCAACAATTAGTGCTATGAAAAAAGGCTACACTTAAAAAATTTCAAAAATATATATATATATGAAAAAAAATTAATGAAGTAGGCTGAGAAAAAAACAAATTGGTTGGCTAACAATTATCCACAAGTTGGGAAACTTATGGTGCGTCCGAGTTGAGGGAGAGTACCCTTGGCAAGTCTTGGTGAAAACTCCTAATTAGCAAGCGACTATATAAACAATTAGCCAAGATCTTCTGGAGAGTAGCTTAGGTGAGTAGAAGACTTAGTGGGTTGATCTCTTGAGAAGAGTGGAGCCTTTTGTGAATGACTTGACAAGATATGAGTTCACGCGATGTATAGTGTTGGCCAATCTCAACCTTGGCAAGTGCCAAGTCGGTTTAAGAATAATGACTTGCCAAATTCAATTTAGGATTACATGGCAATTTGATTAACTTGGCCCAGCTGAATATGTATGCATACTAGTGTATTGATTCTATTGTCTCTTTTGAGGAGCCAAAAATAGCAAGAAAAAAGTTCCCTAATCTAACTCCATCTAGCTAAGTTGGAAGACTTGATACAATTGATCACATGGATTTAATTATTCAAACGAATACATCAACATCAAAGAAGGCAATAAATATTTGATTTTTTATTCCTAACAAATAGATCAACCTTAATTATCCTGTGAGATGAGGCAAGAATGACAATCACAATCTAGGAATTACTTGTTGAAATCTCTTTGTTGGAGGATATTGTAGCTTCTCTACAAATTCAAGTTAAGGTCAATAAGGTTAAGATAACCAAGTAACCTTGCTCAAAGTCTTTGGGGGAAGCCAATAGAATAGGACTCGAAGGCTTTGAGGAAAAACTTGAGGAGCTAAGTAGTTGCTTTGCCATTTCGCTTGATGAAGTCATCAGATAAATATACCAAGAAATTAATAAAATAAACACGTAGGTCATCTCAATGAGAAACTGTATTGAATCTTCTTGGTCAAGCCTGTTTTTAATGGATGGAGAGTTTGCTTCACATCACTTGATTCGATGGGAAATAGTTCCTCAAGAGATAGCTTTAGATCTAAAATTTCATTTGCAAGGTTGGAGTTTAGAAATGTGTGGGTTTTTTCAATGTGCTATTTGATTTTTTTTATTTATGAATTATTAAAACTATAGATCCAGGAGTCATACACCCTATAATTGGTAAAATGTTGACTCTGCCTTCTAATTTATTGGTTGAACCAAACTTTAAGTGGTATGAGATGACCAATTGCATTAAGAAGATTGACATTAAAATTTTAGAAAAGTCTAGAAATAAATCATACACAAACAAACTTAGTAGTGGAGTCAAAAGATACAAAATATTATTACATGAGGAAATATGCTTTTAAAGAGTGAACGAAAATGTAAATACACTTAGTTTTACAATGAATATAAGGAAAACTACAAGAATTATAGAAAGGATAATAATCAGAGGCAAATGCTTAGTTTTATGCTTTAGTGTTGAAATAAATGGGAAGTTAGAAAAATTAAGCAAATAGTTAAAAGATAAGCAGTTGAGGACTAGTTAAACAAAGATTACGAATATGAAATGTAAGTTTAGTCGATATGAAATTAAAAATTAAGAGTCGATATTATCAAAAATTCAAGTGATACCTAAGTGTAATAGGCTTAAACACCTTAAATACTTTCTCCAAAAGCATAAGATATAAATGAAGATATAATTTCTAGAATCAAAATGGGATTAAAATAGAGGAGTGTCAAAGGAGTATAACATAATAAGAGAATATTGTGGAGACTCAATAGATAAATTTTATAAAAGTTTAACAAGGCCAGCTATGCTATATAGATCTGAGCATTAGACATTGGATCATTGATACTCAATTTAAATATGATAAAAATGAGAATATTAAGATGAATATGTGACAGGATTGTTTGAGAAATGTTTATATGAGATGGACTATAGGAGTAATAGATATTAAATATAAGATAGTAGAAAATAGATTTAAATAGTTTGGATATTCACAACAAAGGGTAGAAGTAAGACTAAAAAGATGATAAATAAAATTAATGTTATGGGACTAGGAAGGAATACAAGTCGATCAAAATTTACATGCATAGAAATTTTAAGAAAACTCAAGAAAAAATATTTATAAACCTAAAGCAATGTTTAACAAGAATGGATTGGATATAAGGATACACATAGCCTAACCCTAATAGTTGGCATAATGCTAGCAATGATGGTGATGACAATGACATGTGACAGAACCTGGAACAAAAGGATGCAGGAAGGAAAGGATTAAATGCATGAGATGAAATAAGAACAAGATTGAAAGACTGGTAAACTCTGCAAACAAGAAATAGTGATACGTCTATATAAATGCAGTGGTAGATGCCCTGAAATGGCTATCTTAGCACTACCATCTAAGTCCATTTACAGAAAAAGGAACAGACCAATCTGGTCGGATGAAGCAATGACAAAGCCTGTAAAGTGGCACAATTAAACGTGAGCAATGAAAAAGCTTCTAAAGTGGTTCAAGAAAGAAAAAGAACATTTTTTTATCAAAAAATAGAGGAATAACCTAAAATAAAAAAGGAAGCATAAGCTTTGTTAAATGAATGAAAAACATCTATCAAATAAGCCTTAGTAAAATAAAGAAAAAATTTTGAGTTATATGACAATGATCTTACTGGCCCAAGAAACTTGTGCTTTGCTTCAGAACCATTCATGCCATCGGTAACGGGAAGCTCTCTATTGCTGTTCACCACTGAACCAGTATCCTGATATTTCTAGATGGTCAAACAAAGAATAAACAGGAAGAAAAAAAGTGAAGTAAATATAAAAAGAATGACCATACCTCTGACATCAAGTAATCACCTACGTCTGGAGCACAAGGTAAATCAGGTATCTCATTTTCAAAGCATAATTCAAAAACTCTCCTCAATAGGATCTCATCAAACTCTCTGTCAAGAATACCATGTTACATTATTATATAAGTATTTGATAAGAACATTGGAAGCTTAGGAAAAAAAGGAACCAAAACAACATTTATCTCTCCACTTACTTGAAGAAACCACCTCGTACATTGCAGGCAACATTTCTCGCAACACATAGAACAGGAACAGTATTAGCCACCTGTAATAATTAAGGTACGCACTAACTCAGCCATTGCAAACATTTTGAACCAATCGTCAATGTGAATAATGAAATGCAATCATCAAAAATGATAAACACCTCTGCCTGAGGGGCATAATATGGAGTGAATGCAGGAACAACATGAACTCGAGGTTGGTCCCTATCATCCCAAACCTGCAATCGATCATCAATAACCATTGCCATTTTTGGATGACAATTGGCATCTCTAAAAACATGTTGGAGTGACTTTCTTGAGCCTGCAAATCATTAAGCATACAGCATATTAAACATATCCAAAGTTTATCTTTAAAAATTGCAATGCGTTAATTACTAGGCTACGAATTAATGATTTATAAGAACTTAAAAGCCTCCAAAGAGGCACGGCATAAAAAGCATAATATATAAGAAAGAAATGAATCAATATAATAGGGAAACTTTTTGCATTGTAAAGGATACATAAGTATGATTTTCAATATATTAAATAAATTTAATTTCAATCTTAAAGGTGAATTCTTGCCAGATTTTACGCATACGATCCGATCCAACAGCTGCTTTGAACTGATAAGATGAGATTCTGGATCAAGAAGCCTCCATATCTCTAAAGCATAGTCTCTTTCCGCCATTGTGCACACATATACTTCAAAACGTTTGCGTCCTTTGGCAGTCAAGTAGCTCCTCAATTCCTCCCAAGCAGGACGTAGCTTCACAAACACACTAGTGTCTCGTATCTGTGAAAAATCAAAGCAACAAAATTACCATCCTTCTCGCACAATTGTTTCTAAACATTTGATTATAGCATCAAACTTTTTATGATACTAGTGCTTCAAGAACCAGATGAATCAGTTGATACCGTCTATAGATGAGGAGGCTTAGTAAAGAAAAATACTGCAAAAATTATTAAAAAGCAGCTCTGTTCACGTAGTAATAACTAGTTGTGTGAGGATAGCATCAAAAACCTTTTGTTAGTGTGTGCCGCATTACAGCTTTGATAACAAGATGTTAAAGTTGAATTTGAAAAGTTTGTGATCTATGATCCTTGCAATACAAATTTACAGTAGCAGCTGTGTCACCACTTAATTTCAACAAGTTGGTTCAGCTTTACAATTTATATTTTTTCTTTGCATTCTAATTTAGAGTTTCATGCGTTTTCCAATTCCAATTTAGCAAAATATTTTACTCATTTGCCACTCTGGCACTCACATTAGTCCTAACAACCTAAATTTTACCCTAACTGTCAATGAGCCTATGCTAAGATCCTCATTATATGTTATGTCGCAATTAGCGCTTCAAAAAAATTTTAAAATAAGTTCAAGCTAACAAAATAATAATAAACGCACAAAGGGTGCAACATAACTAGTGCCAATCGTTTCAAAAACATAGTCGAAGCACTGTTATTTGCTTCAAATAATAAGTGGGCCGAAATAAAGTGAAAGAAATCCTTCAAATATATATTTAAAAACACATATGAAATTAAGTAAAGCTTTACACAGGAAAGAAAATTCTATTTTACTAAATCAATTTTAAGTCGATCAATATTTCAGTATACATTACGTCAAATCAAGTAACGAAATATAAAAAAAAGCATAACCTAATATATTACATAAGGTCCATTGAATAATAATGAAAGCCCAAAAATCTTCATGATTTGAAGGGGAAAAAACATGGACTTATTCCTAAACAAAGAATGTATAAAAAATCAAAGTTAAGATGCAAACCTACGGTTCAGATTTGCATTTAAAAAATGCGAACCACTTCTGGGTGAGAAAAGTATTCCATAGGCTCCTAACTCATATGCAATTTGGTATGACATTCTTTTAGTGTTGAATAAAGAATGCAAAACCCTAAAGCTAGCCACCTTGTTTAACATGCAACTAGCCATGTGACGCAACAATGGAGGATTAAATCCGTCAATGAAATTCATATTTGACATTACCATACTTTTAGAGGTACTAGCATTTTAGAATCTCAAGAGCTTAAGCCAAGCCTAGGTACCAACCTAGCACCTCCAAACTCAACAAGCAATTTCATAATAAAGAAATATTAGTACCATGGAGTGCTCTTTTGTAGCACCGTAGTTGATGATAAACGCACATAAAGGAGTGCCTTTATAGCTGTAGGCAATTCACTAAAATCATATCTTAATTTACTGTCTTCTTGGCCTGATGTTTACCATAAATGTGACTAACATTTTAAAATATATTTTGGGTCTCCCCCGGTGTATGCCATGAGATTAGATGGGGAAAAATTGCCATCAGGCAATCAAACAAGGTGTAGGTCAAGGCATCGCCTTAAGTCAACAAAGTATGTTTTTTGCACACCATTATCAAGGCACTATCCTATGCTATAACTTAAATTAAAATAAATTATCAAAATACTAAATTTTAACTTATTATAATTAACTTTTCAATCTACTTAAATAAAAATATAAATGAAATTATTGATTATATTTTAATATTATTAAAACATGATGCATACAAGTATTATTAAGATAGAAATGGCATTCTATTGTATTGCATGCTTATTTTGAATAAAAAATTGTTAATAAATTGGCAGATTAATTAAACTAGGGAGTTAAAATATGAATCATATGGTTATGGGATTGAAATATAATAGTTGAATTAGTCCATAGGGTTGTATGTTTAATTATTTTTTTCATTTCTTTGGACTGATTTCTAATTTTTTTTGTTTTAGTAGGGTATTTTGTGATGTTATCAATTATTATCATGGGGGAATTAATGTCTATTTAAAGGATATTTCTCCTTGAGAATTTCAATTTTTGGAGAGAAATTTAATTTCCCTGTTGTTAGAGAGGTGAAAAGAGAAGGTGATCAAGTGGAGTCCAGGACTCTAACACAATCAATCCTAGAACTCTGGAAGCCATATTCAGCAACCTTCCATGGCGAGCTACAACAGATTTCAGCAGTAGTAGGATTTTTTGGTGGCAGCAGATAGGCGGCTTTCTTAATGAGTAAAACTAACTTTCTGAAATATGTCACCACTTACGCCAAAATAAAAACGAGTTAAGAAAACGTTAACATTATTTTGAATCGTCCAACTCCTTAGTCTTTTATGGATTTTCAAAGTTTTCACGGGCTTGCATCCTTCTATTGACGTTTTATTAAGAATTTCAATTCAGCACCCACTCCAATCATGTCCTTTAAGGAAAAGTTAAATGATGCACGTCACAAAAAATTCACTTATGACAAAGAGTACTATGCAATAATTAAAGTACTACTGCATCGGAACCACTATCTTTTAGCCAATGAGTTAATCTTGATCTTAGATTAGCATTTAAATATCATAAAGCCAAAGCAGGCTTATAGGTAGATATGCCAAGTGAGCTGAATCCCTCTCCTCTATTTGGTCCATCTTGAAGCACAAATATGGCATTCAAAATAGGTCGGTAATGCCCTTTAACAAAAATATACACTCCTCAGTACTCTCCAATCAAATCTGGTAGGGTTCGAGTTAATTAAAGAATTTTATCCAAATGATAGAGATCTTGGAAAGAAATGTCGACAATATCAAGGTGTGTTTCTGTGTTTACAACATCGATGGATATTTGTTTTATAAAAATAGTTTGTGCATTCTATAATGTTTGCTGTGATATCTTACTTGAATGCAATGGACTTGTGAGTCATTTTTGGTGGGACAAGACTATTGCCCTTATATAAAAAAATTAATTGGCCATCTATCCAAATGGACATAAACCAACTTATTAAGGGTTGTAGGATTTTCCATGCCGTTAAAAAAGAAGCCAAAAGATGGAATTGCACACATCTTTATTTTGAAAACGGGACCAAACTGACTGGTTCAATCGTGAACCAATTAAGTTGTTGGTCCAGTTACATTCAAAAATTGAATTTGCATTGAACCGGCTTGAACAAGTTTAAATTGCCGGTTTAATCAAAAAACCATCAAATTAGTCCTAGTTTTATAGAAATAAATGGTTCAAACTTACAGCTTTTACATACTTTTGATTTATAACTCATTTAGGCTCGAGCAAGCTTATTGAGCGTGCAACAACAACAAAAAGCCTTTGTACCAGAAAAATATTGAGCGTAAAATATTAAATTTTATTTTAATAAAATTTGTAATAGCCTATTTTAGTTTTATTAAAGCTTTTTAAAATTTTTAAAACTCATTTTAAAGCATATGTAGGAAGATTTAATAAGTATACATAACTCCCACCTTATGCAACTTGGCTTGTTACTAATGACTTGTATTTTGCACTATATTAAAACAACTACTTAAAACTCTCCTGTAATATGGGACTTAAAAAACTATGCGAATAATAGATGGGGAGTTAGGGTTTAAAGTTGGGTTGGGTTACGAAGGCTGCTATAATGGGTATTATAAAAGCTAATAACATAAATTTTGTTAATATTATAAACTTTATATATTATATTAAAGAAAAAAAATGACCAAAATAGTCCCTTGACTCTTTATGAAGGACAAAAATGATCTCCAACTATACTAAAAGATTATTTTGGTCTTTCAACTCCTCGTATATAAAATATTATTCTTATTATAATTTATATTTATATGTATGCATATATATTATAATTTTTTATTTTTAAATATATCTAATATTCAT